TGCAAACATGATGCAAGGAGAGTTTGAAATGTCCATGATGGGCAAATTAAACTTCTTCCTTGGTTTGCAAATTAAACAAACGAGTAGTGGAATATTTATCAGTCAAACTAAATATTGCAAAGAGCTTTTAAAGAAATTTGAAATGGATAGTTTTAAAGAGATAGCCACACCTATGGGTACCAACACATATCTAGATCAGGATTTATCAGGTAACCCCATAGATATAACAAAATATCGAGGCATGATTGGCTCTTTGCTATATCTTACTGCTAGTAGACTTGATATTATGTTTAGTGTGTGTCTATGCACTAGATATCAATCTTGTCCAAAAGAGTCGCATTTGACTGTAGTAAAAAGAATCTTAAAATACTTAAAAGGAACTTTGGATGTTGGTTTATGGTATCCAAAAGGCAGTCTATGTCATTTAATTGGATATACTGATTCTGACTTTGCTGGTTGCAAAACCGAAAGAAAAAGTACTAGTGGTACTTGTCACATTTTTGGCAATGCATTAATTACTTGGTCCTGTAAGAAACAAGCTAGTGTAGCCTTAAGTACCGCTGAGGCAGAATACATTACTGCCGGTAGTTGTTGTGCCCAAGTTTTGTGGCTAAAACAACAACTGTGTGACTATGGTATTGACATAGGCTGCATTCCCATTTTGTGTGACAATACAAGTGCCATTAATATCTCTAAGAATCCTATAATGCACTCTAGAACAAAACATATAGACATTAGACATCACTTTCTAAGAGACCATGTTCTTAAGCAGGATGTTGAACTTAAGTTTGTTGACACACATGCACAAATGGCTGACATTTTCACAAAGCCTTTAGGAAAAGAACCCTTCTTCAAAATTAGGAAAGAACTTGGTATTTTGGCAGAAAAAGAATTAAGTTAAAAATTATCTCTTTGAATCATTATGAGATCAACTATGTGATATTGTGTGTATTTATTGTTTAAGTATATGATTTACTATCTGTTATAGACACTTGATAGCTTGTAATCGATTACATAGCTCGGCAATAAATTACAGTGTCTCAATTTCTTTATTTTTTTAAAAATTCTTATGATGTAATCGATTACGGCTTCATTGTAATCGATTACACGCTATTTAAAACAATTCCAATATCTTCTGTAATCGATTACAGATTCATTGTAATCGATTACATAATGTTTAAAACAATTCCAATGTCTTATGTAATCGATTACAAACTTAGTGTAATTGATTACATACTGTTTTTAAAACAAATCCAATAGCACGGTTTCTTTATTTTTCGTAATATTCTTTGATGTAATCGATTACACCATATTATAAAACAGTTTCAGAGGCTTCATTTTTTACAGATACTTCATTTTAATCGATTCCCACTCTCCTTCTTCATCCCCTTCTACCTCCTCCTATTTTAGTAAGTTTTTTCTTCTTCCATAACTCTACCGTAAAAACCTAAACTCATTAATCTCTTCTCTCTACTCCCATTTTTTCACTCTACCTTAAATTCACTCATCTCTTTCAAACCCTAAAAACCCAATTTTATCCATGGCTCCATCTTCTCGCTCCAAGAGGGCCCGAAATACCAACCCTCTCGACCTCTCCCGTCTTCTCAAAGACGATGAGCAACAAAAAGGTTCCTAAATCACTACATTGAAAGACCGGTAATGACACCCAAATATGGGTCCCTTACTACTTTTGAAGAACAAGGTTGTCATTTCCCCTCTCTAATCCGGGCTAAGGGTTTACATGTCTTCGTAGAAGACAAAACCCCTTTCTACATTGAGCTCATTTGAGTTTTCTACTGCAATCTGAAGTTAGAAAATGAAACTCTGTACTCCTATGTCAAAGGCAAACATTTTGCGCTTACACTTACTGAATTTGGCGAATGTTTGAGTTTGCCAAGTACTGGTGTTATGCTCGGAAGCTTCATTGAGTGTCCCTGGAGTGGGTTCAACAAGAGGGAATTCTATTTTTCCCATTGTCGTTTTTTCGAGGCGGAGATTTCTCGGAAGCGGTCAGGGTCTGCGGCTGGCTCCTCTCGCGAAACTCTTGGGGTTGGCAATCTTACAGTCGAGAATCGCCTTCTACACTACTTTCTGGAGTATGTTATTTTTCAGAAAGGATCCAACTACTCTTAGGTGAATGATTTTGAACTTCAACTCTTATATGGGATCATCAATATGGAAAGTATCAACTGGAGTTTTGTTATCTTTCAACTTATGATAAACCAAACCACCAAATCTGGTCCGCTCCCATACGCTTTTGCAATCACTAGAATACGGCAAAAGTTTAATGTTGACTTCGCTATATAGCTGGAGACTCCTTTCTCCATCAAGGAACATCGAATTGATCTCACTTCGCTGGGGAAAATGCAAATTGTGGAGGCTCCAGATGGTTCTTTGCGACACAAAGATCAAAAAGTTGAAGATGATGCTCCTTTGGAAGCGCCTGCACAACCCGCACCTCCTACACCTCAGGATTTAGGTAACTCTCCAGACTATCAATCAATTATGACGTGCTTGCTGGTTAGAGGGCAGAGTTGGTCAATATGTGCGCCTATATGACTACCCGGATGGATCACATTGATTCTCGATTGGATTCCATGGATTCTCTATTCGATGAGATCACTTCTTTGCTTCGCAACCTTCAGCCTCGTGATCCTCCACCTTTCTAGTGGTCTTAGCTTAGGATTAGGAATCCTAGCTTTTATGAAGGACCTATTTTTGTTTGTTGTTTCTGACTTTATTAGTATGATGTCTTTACTAATGTTTGCTTTGCAACCTTGAACTACAAACTTATGGATTATGCATGTTACTATTCTACTATATGGTTTAACGTATTTTGTTCTAAATTATGAATGATTTCCTGCATATTATCCTTTCATTATTATGCTTAATCTGTTATACCTAGTCTCCTTTTTGATAATGTCAAAAGGGGGAGAAAAGGGTTGTATGTTCAAATTTATTTCAGGCACAATTTTTTCAAAGTTATGCAATAAGACCAAAAGACAGGGGGAGAACCGCTAAACATGAATCAACTTTCAAGACATAGTTTGCCATCATCAAAAAGGGGGAGATTGTGAAGATGGTGATCTTTCCCAACCTATGGCTAAGGTTTTGATGATGCTCACTATGTCATCAAATGCAAAACGAAGACTAGCAAATCAAAAGTCAAAGAAGCTCATATGTGTAGTCTAAGTCTTTCAATCAAGTTTGAACTTGTTCGTTTGGAATTTCGACTCTTCTACTACTATTTACTTATTTACTTATATATATATATATATATATATATATATATATATATTTTATTTTCTTCCATCATTCCTTAAGTCCCACAGATTTGATCCTATAGAATCTGATCCATTTTCTCATTGAGCGAAAGGTAGGAAATAAATCAGATTGATTTTTCAATCAAAAGTACTATGTGAAATCTTCGATTTTTTCCATAGGAGGTAAGGTATCGGGAAGGAATTGGAATGTAATAATATCAATTCATACAGATACATAAGAAAGGGTTTTCTATTGATTTAAACGCTAGACCTACGAGATAGGGATAGAGAAATAGGGAAACACCCAATTTGATCCCAATTTGACGGGTTAGTGTGAGCTTATCCATGCAGTTATGCACCCTTCGAATAGGAATTCATTTTCTGAAAGTTCTCGGCTTTCGTTCTTTGGTGGGACTTCGAGATCCTCTCGATGACCTAAGTTGTGTTAAAGAAATATCTATATGAACTGTTTGATTGCGTAAAGCGCGCGACAGCAACGGAACCGGTAGAGTATACATAAAATATAGTTCGATTTGTATTTTATTAGTATTTTCTATTAGTATTAGATTAGTATTAGTTTGTGATTTCGACTCAGTGAGTCCTTTCTTTCGTGATGAACTGTTGGCACCAGTCCTACATTTTGTCTTTGTGGGCCGAGGAGAAAGGAAGCAAGGAGGTCAACCTCTTTCAAATATACAACATGGGTTCTGGAAATGCAATGTGGTTGGACTCTCATGTCGATCCGAATAAATCATCCTTTCCACGGAGGTAAATATTTGCCTGCAAGGCAAGATGATAGCAAGTTCGAAATTATGTCTTGGTAGGACATATTTTTTTATTGTTATTGAATTGAAGTAGTTAACGGTGGGGTTACCATTATCTTTTTTTTGTGGTGACGAATTTTGTATATGTTCCTAAGAAAAGGAATTTGTCCATTTTTCGTGGTCTAGAAGGGGCGTGGAAACACATAAGAACTCTTGAATTGATATGGAAAAATAGATGTAACTCCAGTCACTTCGGAATTGGTAAGATTTTTGGTGCAAGAATGAAAGAAGAAGGGTTGATTCGTATCCTCTTGACTTGGTTCTGATATCTCTATTTTTGTAAAAATACCGAGTCGGGTTCTTATCCTACCGATATCGAATAGAACATGTTGATCCAAATCTTCTTCATGTAAAACCCTCTTTATATAGATCGGGAAAATCGTACGGTTTTCTGAAATCATGTGCTATTGCTCAAATCTGCAGTCAATCCTATTTTCGATAGGAGTAATTGAAAATTGAATCCAATTTTTCTCATTATTTTCGTATCCGTAGTAGTGTGAAAAGAAAAGAAAGCTCAACTCCAAGTTATTCAAGAATAGTGCCGTTGAGTTTCACGACGCTTTGCCTTAGGATTAGTAAGTTATATTTCTCTTTCTCGATGGGGGGAAGAGAAGGAATGGGTATAACTCAGCGGTAGAGTGTCACCTTGACACGGTGTAAGTCATCAGTTCGAGCTAGATTACCCCTAAATCCAATGTGAGTTTTTCTATTTTGTTTGATATCGTGATTGAATTAGAACGGAGATTGATAAGAGGCTAGTGGGATGACGAGAGCGAGGGGGGGGCTATATTTTTGGGAGCAAACTCCAGGCGAATATGAAGCGCATGAATACAAGTTTTGCCTTGGAGTGAAAGAGAATTCTGAATCAGCTTTGTCTATGAACAAGGAAGGTATAAGTAATGTAACTAGGAATCTCACGGAGAGTTCAATCCTGGCTCAAGAAGAACGGTGGCGGAATGCCTTACACATGCAAGTCAGACATGAAGTGGTGTTTCCACCGGTGGACAGGTGAGTAACATGTAAGAACCTACCCTTGGGAGGGGAAAAACATGTGGAAAAAACTGCTAATAACCCGTAGGTTGAGGAGCAAAAGGAGGAATCCGCCCGAGGAGGGGCTCACATCTGATTAGCTAGTTGGCAGGGCAATATCTTACCAAGGTGATGATCAGTAGCTGGTCCGAGAGGATGACCAGCCACACTAGGACTGAGACACGGCCCAAACAACTACGGGAGGAAGCAGTGGGGAATTTTCCTCAATGGGCGAAAGCCTGATGGAGCAATGTCGTGTGGAGGTAGAAGGCCTCTGGGTCATGAAATTCATTTCCCAGAGAATAAGCAATGGCGGTATCCCGGGATTAAGCATCCGCTAACTTTGTGCTAGCATCCGCTGTAAGATAGAGGATGCAACCGTTATCCAGAATGATTAGGCGTAAAGCATCTGTAGGTGGCTTTTTAAGTTCGCCGTCAAATCCTAGTGCTCAACCCTGGAAAGGCGGTGGAAACTACCAAGATAGAGTATGGTAGGGGAAGAGGGAATTTCGAATGGAGCAGTGAAATGCGAAGAGATCGGAAAGAACACCAACGGTGAGAATTTCCGATGGATATTAGGCGTTGTGCGTATCGGCCCATGCAATACTCTAGCTAACACGTTAAGTATCTCGCTTGGGGAGTACGTTCAGAATAATGAAACTCAAATGAATTGACGGGGGGCCGCACAAGCGGTGGATCATGTGGTTTAATTCGAATCAAAACGAAGAAACTTACCAAGGCTTGACATGTCACGAATCCTCTTGAAAGATAGGGGTGCCTTTGGGAACACGGAGACAGGTGGTGCTTGGCTGTCATCAGTTCTTGCCGTAAGGTGTTGGGTTAAGTCTCGCAACAAGCTCAACCCTCGTGTTTAGTCGCCAACATTGAGTTTGGAACCCTGAGCAAACTGTCGGTGATAAGCCGGAAGAAGGTGAGGATTACGTCAAGTTATCATGCCCCTTATTCCCTGAGCGACACACATGCTACAATGGTCGGGAGAAAGGATCGTGATCCCGCTAGGGTGAGATAACTGCAAAAACTAGTTCACAGTTCGGATTGTAGGCGGCAACTCGCCTGCATGAAGCCGAAATCGCTACTAATTGCCGATCAGCCATACGACGGTGAATTCGTTCTCGGTCCTTGTACGCACCGCCTGTTACACTATGAGAGTTGGCCATTCCCAAAGTCATTACCTTAATCGCAAGGAGGGGATGCTGAAGGTAGGGCTAGTGATTGGAGTGAAGTCGTAACAAGGTATTCATATGAGATGGTGCGGCTGGATCACCTCCTTTTCAGGGAGAGGTAATGCTTATTGGGTAGTTTGGTTTGACACTACTTCACACCCCGGAAAAAATAGTGAGATGTGCGTCATAGTCAAATTTGGAGATGGAAGTCTTCTTTCGTTTCTCAACGGTGAAGTAAGACTAAGCTCATGAGGTTAGTATCCTAGGATGGAACAAGTTGATTGGAGCTCCTTTTTTACGTCCCCATGTCCCCAGACGGGGATGACGTAAAAAAGGAAAAAGATGGATGGGGTTTCTCTCGCTTTTGGCATTGTGGGCCCCGACACGAGTCCCTGCACGACTGGCTATTAGCTCAGTGGTGCAGCGAGCCCCTGATAATTGTGTCGTTGTGCTTGGACTATGAGGGCTCTCAGCCACATGGATAGTTCAATGTGCTAATTGGCGCCTGACCCTGAGATGTGGATCATCCAAGGCACATTAGCATGGCGTACTATAACGACCCAAAATTCACCCCTTAAAAAATTTTCATTTATTTTAATCCTTTCTTGCATACAGTCGTCACCTTAATTAAAAACTCTCAAGTATCACTCTTTGAAAATACTCTTTACCCTATTATATTATCATACAAATTTATGTTGCGAAAAAACATAATTCATTCAAATAGCATTTACCACATACAACCAATTATGGGTCTCCCAGAGTTATAACGTCCATAACTACACATATCCGTATTAATCTAAACAGATTTACAGTCATCCCAAAATGTTATCAAATTAACTACAATGTCAAATAGCAAAGAAAGACAAACAAATTAATAAACACGAAAGCTTCCTAAGTGAGCTTCCTTCTCAAAATCCTTCATTTACCTACAATGGGATTATCATAAACAACACACAAAACAAAAGGGAGTAAGTCATTAGTTCAAAAACTAATATCACATGATAATCCACATTTCAAATACGATTAATCATTAACATAATTCGTAAACACACATGCGTAATTGTAAACATTCATATCATCTTCCTTTAATTTCCACTTTACTCATATTCATCCTATAGTATATATATCCCATATTATATATTCTATAGTATGCATATTACGTTCGTTCGAAACATCATCCTTCTCATTATTCATATCCACCCTATAGTATATATATATCCCATAATATATATCATATAGCATGTATATTATTTTCATTCTCAGCATCTTCCTTTTTATCGCTCATATTCACCCTATCGGATATATATCCCATACTATATATCCTATAGCATGCATATGACTCTCTTTGTGACATTCTCATTTCTCGTCATTTATATTCACCCTATAAAATATACATCCCATACTATATATTCTATAGCATGCATATGACATTCATTATGACATCCACACTTCTCATCATTCATATTCACCCTACAGAATATACATCCCATACTATATATTTTATAGCATGCATATGACATTCATTGTGACATCCACACTTCTCATCATTCATGTTCACCCTTAATCGTATTCATCAATTTCATTTCCATACCACATCAGGCAGACCGAGTTATTAACCCATACCACATTGGGCAGGTCGAGTTATTACTTGTTACCCCATACCACATCGGGCATGTCGAGTTATTACCCCATACCACATCGGGGAGGCCGAGTTATTATTTGTTACCCCATACCATATCGGGCTGGTCGAGTTATTATTTGTTACCCCATACCACATCGGGCATGTCGAGTTATTACCCCATACCACATCGGGCAAGTCAAGTTATTACTTGTTACCCCATACCACATCGGGCAGGTCGAGTTATTACCCCATACCACATCAGGCAGGCCGAGTTATTATTTGTTACCCCATACCACATCGGGAGGTCGAGTTATTATTTATTACCCCATACCACATCGGGCAGGTCGAGTTCACAATAATCACTACCATTCCCGGTAGGACACAATAACAGTCCGCTACCACTCCGGGTAGGACACAATAACAGTCCACTACCACTCCGGGTTGGACAAAATAAACAGTTCACTACCACGCCGGGTAGGACACAATAACAGTACGCTACCACTCTGGGTAGGGCACAATAATAGTCCAATACCACTCCGGGTAGGACACAATAAACAGTTCACTACCACGCCGGGTAGGACACAATAAACAGTTCACTACCACGCCGAGTAGGACACAATAAACAGTTCACTACCACGCCGAGTAGGACAGCAACAATAAACCACTACCTCTTCGGGTAGGGTAAAAACAATAAACTTACCAACACGTTACCTCTTTCACATACCTCATTCACATCGGTGAGCTTGATTTAGAAATACTTATCCCTTTCCTTGGTGAGTGTTGGGGATCGGTTCCGAGTTAAAAGTCTCCTCCGCGATTTCCTCCAACCTTAGGATCTTTCCTCGTTTTCACCAATAACAGCAATGTCAGTCATTTATTCAAAATAACACATAAATAACTCGTATTTCTTCATCAAATACACAAGGGATTCATATATATTCAAGATTTCCAAAACTACTTCAATACAAGTTTCCAAACATCTAAACATACATGTTTATCTCATATATCAACATCAAAGCACAAAGTCATCATCCACATCTAACATTTCATCTCTTTCTCTTTATACTCATATTCTCATTTTGGGGGTTTTTGTGGTTTTCATGAATAACCCACAAAACCTTTCCATTCATCAAATATCATCTCTAAACCATGAGTTTACAAAACAAAAACAACATAAAACGAACCATAACTCTAAAGGATGAGTTTCCATGGTTTCTCATATTTTGAAAATAGATCCACATACTCAAAACAAGGTAGAGAGGAAGAAGAGTTAGGAACAAGAGGTTTACCTCTTCTCAAGCTCTAAGATGAGTCCTAAGGCTCTTTGCTCTTGAAAAGCTCTCTTCTCTCTCTTCTCTTCAAAGTTCTAACCCTAAAATGTGTTTGGGGTTTCTATTTTAAAGAGCAGTCGTCGGGTTCTCGCTCAAGCGAGCCCATTCTCGCTCAGGCCAGAAAATCCTGCCTTTTTATAATTTCAGATCTGACGCTCTCGCTCATGTGAGAATCTCACAGTTTCCACAACCCAAAAATACCATTTCTCGCCCAGGCGAGACAACTCTCGCTCAGGCGAGAATCCTCCAGTATAGGCCAGGATTTCACCCTCCCAGGGGATCCTTTCTCGCTCAGGTGAGAATCTCTCGCTCAAGCGAGACTTCCAGGAGAAATACTATAATTTTAAAGACTAAAATTTAGGGTGTTACAATCCTCCCCCTCTTATAAGAATTTTCGTCCTCGAAAATTAAACATACCTCGAAAAATAATATCATCACCTAGACCCTAGGTACATGAATACCCAACCAAAATCATAACCGATCCTCTAATCCGTTAAAATTACTTAATCGGACATTAAGGGCATACACCACCAAACCGTGATATCCCCAAACCAATTCATGAACTAACTCATCACTGTCCAAATATTCAGATCTCAACCTCTAATAACTCGAATGCCATGAGAACTAAACCATAATTCAGACTAAAGATCTTTCCTATATTCGTCAAGAACCATGGGTATCTAGGACTGATCCAGCTAACAATCCTCATCTATGTTAAGAATCCCTATAACACTCTCGCAATTCAGCGAATGGGTAACTTCTTATCCCTCATCCACTCCAATGCCTCATTTAACATCCATCAAACACTAACTAGTTCATCTCTACTAAAAAATTTAGCGCAATTTCATTTTACTCAATCAACAATATACTTACACAATAAGACTCTTAGTGTCTCATCCATTGTACACAATCAAACTATCCAGTAATCGTCTAATTACATCAAATATCCCCGTCATCAAATCTTATCATCGAAATGAATTACCGATTTCTATCCTCAACTGAAACCTTAAACCATTGATTCACACCAAAACTAGGTACCCTGTTACCGATCGGCAAGTGCAAGTCGACAAACACTCAAACCTACAACTGACGTTCGGTTTGGTCACCCCAATTCTGTTAGCAAATATAAACTTATTAACCCACTCGCATTATGCCCAAAAATACATGGGCGTCTTATATCACTAAACTTTTAACATCCTCATACTTATTTCGATATGGTTGCTAAAATTTCGGAATTCTCCAACATGATACTAAATCATTACTTAGCCACAAGCTATGTTTCACGCAAAAATGATTTTCGAAAACGGTTTGAATCCACGACTCATGGCAACCACGTCGTGAAACAAGGTTCGCACACTCATTTCAACACAACCCAAAACTTCTTCTCTCCTATGGTTACACCATACCCATACACCGCAATTACTGTCGTTTACGAAACAACAACAACTTTTGCCGGTACAACATCTAACGCAGACAATTTAGGTATACCACCACTATTTCATGCATTGCCAATGTCCTACCGCAAAAGAACCGATCATTCGTGACAAAAAGTTTCAAGTCTATTCCATTGCATTCATCACATTGACGGGGTAAGTAATTTGACTAGCCTCTTTCCTCGACTATCAGCATAAGTCTTACCCCCTTAGCATACACACAGTTAAACATAACACTATCTGCTGACCGCTAGTCCATTTCCAAGATTAAATCCAACTGGGACATCATTGCGCATATCAACACTATGGTAAAGGTTTTTCCATTTACCCCAACCGTACACTGAGACACCACATCGACATCCACCACCGGCACACTGGGTGGGTGGGTACAACTAAGTCGAAAACAACAACTTGGTGTACACTCTCAATCGGTTCACACATTCAGTAAATATAGGGAGTGTGTCGCTCCCGAATTAGACAACACTAAAAGGGATACCTGTTACCATGCGATTTGCCTCTCGCCGGATCATCAACACCTGATGTCCCTGCGCCACTCGGGGTAACCCTTCGACCGTGGTTCCTTGTCTCCTCGACAGGAATGACATTAAGTCTCCGATCCAGCTTGGGACAAAACCTTTTAATATGCCCAAGCTCCTTGCAGTGGAAGCATCCATTCCCCTTTCTCGGGCACGTACTTCCATAATGAAGTCTATCGCACTTGAT